CGCAGCGCTGGGAAGCGGTGCGGAGCCACAGGCGGTGTGACTGCCCGCGCCTGTAAGTTACCTCAGGAAAGTTAGAGCCCTAGGGAACGCCCGAGCGGATTTCAAGGCAAGTGAAAGTGAGAAGCTGTGGCTGGAGTAACTGTTTCGTGGCCTTAAAAGAGTTTTTATTTTATGCGTAGAGTAGGCTGGGAGCTCCGGAGCAGAACAAGCGATGCAGCTCCACGTACAGCTTAAAAGTGCACTGGGTGAGAGGAGATCACTTCTGGGGTGTCTGTATCAGCTGCTGGCTTTGATCCTGTACAGCCTGGGGCTCAGGGCAGTTTCTAAACGCAAAGGAGTAGCTGCGGGACTGCCCAAAACACAAAGAGTCAAAAGCAATTCTTAGCAGTGAGCCCGATAGCTTAAGGCAACAGGAATGGAAGGTAGTGGGTGCAAAACCGTTGGTAAGTGTAAGAATTCATAGGTAGCACTTCTTGCAATACGTGTGGACCCTAGTACTAGACTGTTGTGTGGATACTTTATATCTGGGAGTCCTTGGTACTATACTAGCTGTTTGGGGAACATAAGCTGCTCAGACACTGTTCTTTCGATGTTTTTGAATTAAGTTTAGCCTTGTAATCTTTCAATTATTTGCTGCTATGTCTCCGTTTTGGCTTCTGTATAAGGCTAATTTTACAGCTTCCAGTTTTAATAAAGTTGTCAAAAAAAACTTCTTTTGCTAAGCTTTTTGTTCATCAATCCCATAGGTGACATGTAATACTTCAGACTACCTCTGAGCCTTGCATTTGCGTACCTAGCACAGCATTTCTACTATTCCTACTTAATTTAAGAGAGCAAGAACATCTTAACATGTGCACTACAGCTTAACGGTAGTCTATTTTCATTTAATTCTGACTGCTTTCGTTGGAGCAGCTGAACCCATACTGATACTGGAAGAAGTTAGTCTAGATATCTTCAAGAATGAGCTGAACTGTTTGATTCAGTAGTTCAGGTGTGAGAGAATAATCAAAATTCCACTGGAGCCACAAAGTTTATTTAAAAAAAATTTTATTAACAGGAATGAAACGAGCTGTAAACAAGAGCCAGCAAAAACTAGAAGTGCTTGTAATGCTGAGTCCTTAGGCTTGTTTGAATGTACTAGCAATTCTCTATCACTTGGTGGCAGTAAAGGCCCATGTAAAAAAAAAATGCCCAAAACAGTCTGAAGAGGAGCTTAAAGGCAAGGTTAGTATGCAGGCATTCTGAAACAAGTAGTATATATAGGGAGCTGGTAGCTGGGTAGCAGTGGGTGTTGAGTCTCAGGTGTATCACTGAGAAATACCACAAATACAGTTGGGATGTTTCTGATTTATTGAAGTTAGCTCCCAGTAGGCATATTTAGTTAAAGCCCTGCAAAGCGTGGCATTTAGATCTTTCCTATTTAAATGTTTTTTAATTGGTTTTGCTCCCACACTCGGGAAGGAAGGTAAAAGTTGTCAGCTTTTTTGTCAAGATGCGAGGCGGCTGCCCTGCTAGAAAGAGGAAAGGCAACTCTGATAGAAGTAGAATAGTAGAAGTATACTGCTGATTCTTTTTCCCTTCCAGTAGACTGCCTGTAGCTTTCAGGGTAGTGTGGCCATGCAGTGACTGGCATCTTAGGATGAGAGCTGCTGTTGCACAGCTAGGTTGACTCTCAGAAAATAAGGTGCTGTGAAGGCAGGCTTGGGGAACAGCTCCATGATGTTTTAACTGCCTGATGACTCCTTTCCTGTGCATCTCTGCTGGCCTGGCCCTTGCACAGCTGTGTAAGCTGTGATACCAAAATACTGGTACTTTACAGTTGGGGCTTAGAGAAAAATTCCACTCGTGTTTTTTTTTTTTAAACTGCAGCCAGCAAGTTTTTGTTAAACAGCCCAGAAAGAGAATGGAGGGGGGTGTAATATAAGCAGCTTCGTGTTAGAGATGCTAACTAAGTAGCAGCTACAGGAGCACAGCAAAACTTACCAAAGCATGAAACAAATTTACCCAGATTACTGCTCACTTCTTGGTAGTGCTTGATTAACTTGCAAATCTTTTTCTGTGTTGTAATGTGCAAACAATTAATGAGGCCTTGTTAATGTGAAACTTGAAGAGGCCTGACTGCTGTTCTCCCAAAGGATATGCTTGCTGCTGCTAGCAGGGAGCAGGCACTGTCCAGTAATACACTCCTGGATATTCCTGCTATCCTAGCACATGCAGCAGGGATCTACTCTAGACTATTCACTGCAAATAACTGCTGTAGGAACAGTCTTTCAACCCATAATCCCCTAAACTTTTGGGAGAACTGCTGCTTACAGCTTCATCTGCACTTTTAATTTTTTGGTTTAAGAGACTTGCTTCTCCCTAAAAGCTATTTAAGAAAAAGTGTTATGTTCTAAGTAGGTTTATTTTAAGATTCCCTTCTCGTACTGTTACTGTGCTGGACTTGCCTGAAACAGTAGCTCTAAGTACCAGTTCTTTGTGCACTGCTCATTTTAATGTAGCTAAACGAGGAAAAGTGCAATTCTGAGGACTCCTTTGCCTCGTTGCCTGGCTGAATCCTGTTGGCCTCAAGCCCTCAGCAGCTGCAGAGAGACTTCCCTGCACTTAAGGAATGCCAGGTTGTAGCTCAAGTAAACACCCCAGGCAAAGCAAGGGGCAGGTATGTCTGAACTAACCACTGACAAAGCCAATGCTTTGCTGGCATCTGGGAAGGGTGAACGGGTGATTTATTGTGTAGCAGTCCATTTAAGGCGGTGCAGGCAGGCTCAATGGAATGGGTACCTGGATGTCATGCATGTGGAATTTGTAAATACCTGCAGCTTGAGAAAATTGCCAACGGCCAAACATTTCATCCACATTCAGATTTATACTTAGCGCTTAAAAGTGCCAAATGCCTAGCACAGAAATAAGGGGTGAGGATTCCACTGAAGAGTGCTGGCACAAGACTGTTAAACCTGTACAGTCAATGCTTACAGCATTCTCCTCAGCTTTCTTCAGTTAAAAGAGCTATCCCAAGAGAACCCTGAAGATAACAAAGCATTGTTGCAGTCTAAAAATACTATCACGCTTACAGTAAGGTAAGTAGAAGAAGCTGCAATACATTAGATTTCTTCTCAAAGTACTAGAAACTGCAGTAATGGCGAACCAATGTCTTATCAAACAGATAAACAGTCAGGAATTCTCTGTACAACAGATATATTTGCAGGAGCTTACTCAAACAGACAGCTAAGCTCTGCAGGGAAAAGGAGAAATCTTCATCAAGGAAGGTATGTTACAACACACAAAGGACTTACATAAGCAATTACAAAAATGGTTGCCTTGAAAACAAAGCTTTCCTATGTGCCACAGGCCAAGAAGTCTGACTAGGTGAATCCCAGGTATATGGGAGAAGAAAACTGAATTCAAGCTATTTTCTTACTCAGTTGTTTTGTGAGGAGAAGGCATTCTCCTTGGTCACGCAATACTTAACTTTTCACTGCACTGTATTAACTTTAAAGAACTCTCACACTGCTCCTTGCTGGGTATTATCCCCGCTGATTTGGTGGAGAAGCAGATCGGTCTAATGACTGCCCGTGGCCCTGGAAGAGTTCTGACTTATGGCAAGGTCGGAGCCTACGCAAGTCTCTCAGGAAAGGCAACTACGAGCAACACAGGAGCGGGATGGCCTGCCGCAACTGGTGTGGGAAAGGCCTGTTTCCCTGGGGGAACCCAAAGCGCTCGCAGCGTGTGACAAAACGCCTCGGGGGGCTCGGAGAGCAGTGCTTGGAACGTGCTGCAGCACGGCCAGCATCAGGGCTGGCTGGAAAGAGCTTTTTCTGCTACTGCTTTCATTCCACGTGTCTCAGCTCACCTTTTATGCAGATACAGACACAACAGACAGACATGCACACACTGTCCACGAGGAGAGAGCGCGGCACATGAACACTTGGCATGAGTCTCTGTACAAATGCACCAAGCACATTAGGATCTGCAGCAGCCCGAGCCTCTTACTTCCTTCTTCACGTAGTCGTGGAGCTTGAATTTGGGCTCATTGGGCAGCTTCATGGACCTGTGCTTCAGTTCCCTGCAAAAAGGGGAAACAGAGGTTACTTTTCTGCCTAACAGTGGGACTAACAACGCAAGAAGCAAACCACCCAACAAGAGGCCACCGGCACTACCTGCTTCTAAACTGCCTGGACTAGCTCTCAGCTGTACTACGATTTGGTCCAGGTAGTTTGCTTAAACACCTGTGGATGAGACATTCTGTAGTTCATGTGACATGGTTAAGTACTTTCCAGCACAGGAGCTTCAGGTGAGAGCCCAGAGAATAAAAAAAGCTGCATGATAATGCTAGCCTTTACCTTCAGTGATTTCTAACTGGTTGTTCCTCAGAACTTGTCCTTGCAGCACTAGTTGGTTTGAACAAAGATGTGGAGGGCGTATAAGCACTGACTGATCCTTGGGTCCCTCCACTGGCGGTAATGCAGACTGCCGTATAGGGGGTGGCTGAGCAGAGGTTTGCCTGCCTGTGTAACCGCCTGTGCACTGGATAATCTGCCTGGCAGCGACTGAGGGCAACAGAGGACTTGCGCTGCCATCACTCCCACAGGAAAAGCATTCAGTATGGCAGGAGGACAGTTCACTTACTTTGCAATGGCTGTGAATGCTAATTCAACATTTAAGCCACTTTTTGCGCTGGTCTCCATAAAGGGCACGCCATACTCCTGCAGGACAAGACATACTCAGCATCAGAAACGTCACCCAATCTGTCCACGGGCATGCGAGCTCCTGGCTTCACACACAGCTCCAGCAAACTTGGGGAGACCTGCAGCAGGGCTTTCAGAAGCTGGCTTGGGAGAGAAGAGCTCTTGCCGCGGTGCCCAGGAAAAACCCACAGAGGTTGCAAAGGTTCACAGCTAAAGTGTTTAGTCTACATCGCTTCAAAAATAACTTTAGAGGACAAAGAAGCGCAAAGCAGTAGTGGAAGCTTAAAGGAAGAAGAGCAGACAAGAAGGGAGAAGAGAGCGAGACGAATAAAAGTGAAGTGCTCCCAGATGTATTTTGGGTTAGAACAATCTCCAGCTACCATTTAGCTGGTATACTGTTCATTCCAAGTAAGAACAAACGACTACTGTGGCACACAGACAACTCATAC